CTTCTTTTTTTTTTCTTAACATATATTGCATTATTTGTTTCAGAGGTACAGATCTGTGATTCAACAGTCTTGCACAATTCACAGCACTCACCATAGTACATACCCTCCCTGTCGCAACGATCTTAAAGAAGATTGCTTCGAATCCATCTGTGATGTTGTAGGCTTGATTCATTTCCTCATCAGCATCTGCCTTTACCCCGGTGAGGGAAGTGGGGTAACCTCTGTGGCCTGGACCCGCAGCCCACCACCTTTCCCACCAGATCCTCTCCAGCTGCAGGTTCCACCTCCCAGAACACCCTGAACCATCAGCTCTTTCAGGACAGAGAACTTCTCCCATTTACTGCTGTATCTACAGATTTTTAAGTGTCCCTTTCAGAATGAGATCTTCATGGAAGTTGGTTCTTTTAGCAATCTGTTTAATTAATTAATTAATTTATTTATTTATTTTAATTAACATATAATGTATTATTTGTTTCAGGGGTACAGGTCTATGATTCATCAGTCTTACTACACCCAGTGCTCCCCACAACACATACCCTCCCCAATGTCCATCACCCAGCCACCCCATCTCCCCACCCCCCCAGCAACCCTCAGTTTGTTTCCTAAGATTAAGAGTCTCTTACGGTTTGTCTCCCTCTCTTGTTTCACTTTTTCCTCTCTTCGCCTATGATCCTCTGCCTTGTTTCTTAAATTCCACATATCAGATCATATGATAATTGTCTTTCTCTGGTTGACTTATTTCTAGCAATCTATTTAAATTGTACTTTTAATTCAAATAGAATTAGTGTCAAAAAAGAAAATAGATGAAAAAAAATGGCCAGACTAAACCAAATCCAATATTCCAAGTACAGATTTTAAGCTTCCTTCCCCACTGTCTGCTATGTTGCCTTACCCCGGCTCACAGAGCGGAAGAGGAGGAGTTTGGAGCTGATCCCTCTGACCGCCCGCATGGTGATGGCCCACCTGGTGAACCACCTGGGTCACTTCCCACTGCGTGGAGGCCCCGCCGTGCTGCACAGCCTGGTCAGCGAGAACCATGACAACGTGCACGCCGAGGCCCCCGAACTGTCCTCCGAGGTGTTCCGGAGCCCAAACCTGCAGCTGTTTGTGCTGAATGACAGCACCCTCATCTCCTACCTTCAAACGCCCTCAGAAGGGCCAGCAGGCACCTCGCGGGGGGGTACCCTGTCAGACGTCAGAGTCATTGTGCGGGATATCTCAGGGAAGTACTCTTGGGATGGGAAGGTTTTGTATGGACCATTGGAAGGCTGCTTAGCACCCAGTGGCAGAAATCCTGCATTTCTGATTTCGGGCTGGCAACCTCAAGCTTTGGGAGCTCAGAAAGATTTTTCTCAAAGTGAGGAGGGAGATGATGTCCTCGACAAATTACTTGAAAACATTGGCCATACAAGTCCTGAATGCCTTTTACCATCACAGCTAAATCTAAATGAGCCCTCCCCACCCCCACGGGGAATGAACCATGACCAGGAGAAGGAAATCATCGAGGTCATTTTGCGCCAGAATGCCCAAGAAGACGACTACATCCAGAGGTGTAACTCTGACTCGGCCATGAGAGTCACCAGCCAGGAGCAGCCCTCACCAGTAGAGCCACGAGGACCCTTTTATTTCTGCAGGTTGTTGCTCGATGACCTGGGGATGAATTCTTGGGACAGAAGGTAACAGTCCTCTCTAGACCTTCACCTATTTTATCATTATGTTTGTGTGTGCGTTCTTGTCCTCAATTTGGGGTTTGAGAAGCAGAGAATAGAAATGGAGATTTTTCTTTCTGCATTTGCAGCTTATTTTCTACTGCTAAATTAGAGCTACAAGTGAAACTAATTGTGCTGTACTGATGCATAGGTTGAATTTCAGGCATCTCGTGTATTTTCAAGGGTACCAGACATTTTGTGTATGCGTGCATGCGCGCGCGCATGTGTGTTTTAATTACTGCTCTGTCCATAATTGCTTGTGTTGGCACAAAAGATGCAAATGGACTACAAAGATGAATAAGCCACCATCTCACCTTAGGTCTGGTGAAGGAGGTAGACTTGGCACGACTCTGATGAAAGACAGCATGACTCAGGAGTCTGAGAGGAACAGTTAATCCAATACGAAGTGTGGGACAGTGATCTGTGGAAGGGGTGGGTTTGAGCTGGGCCCTGACAGTGGAATGGGGTTTCTAAGGGCAGAGGTAGGGAGAAGGGATTCACAGCAGAGCTGATAGTGAAAAGAGGCACAGGCACACACACGTCAGTGAAACACTCTTTCCCCTCAGAGCCATCCTGTGTCAATGGGTAGGGATGGGATTTCGTGGAATTTTGATACCTTTGAATGTCTTAGGGAGAATGGAGTTCATCTGTGGGCTCAGATCACAAATCTTTCATGAAGGAGGAAGGTTATGGATGGGTACGTGGATGGATGAGTAGGTAGGTTTGTTAATTGATTGATTGGAAATGGCAGAATTGGTCTGTGATTACACAACTTTTCTTCCATCTCTTTTTTTTAATAGAAAAAATTTCCATCTGTTGAAGAAAAATTCAAAACTGTTGAGAGAGCTAAAAAATCTGGACTCCCGTCAGTGGTATGTGAAAGTATATCAGACCACTTCCTTCCTACCTATCATTGTGTGTGCTTGGATGACAGAGCTGCAGGAATGAATACCCCTACAGAGACACCCAAAGGTCATTCTGTAACTAGAATCTGGTGACGTCTGCACATGCCATACCTTTGGTGTTTTTCCCCTTGAGGAATAAGCTTACATGCTTGCTACACTAAAAAGAGGTCATTGCTCCCATCTAATCTGTGCCTTTGGTTGAGGACCTTTTCATGTGGCAGCCAGTGGACACTCATTCTCATTTAATCTCTGTAGCCACCTCTTTCTCCAATGAGGAGCAGAGGCTTACAAGGCCCAGACAGTGCTCACATGTGCTCACATGTAACCATTTTGTTTGAACCAAGTGAGTCTGACTTCATAACTCTGTGCCAATGCACTGTCTGTAGTCTCTGCACTACAATGTGGGCAAGCTTAAAACCAGTGTGTTTCAATTAGTAACTCCCTGGTAGTGAGCCTTCCTCTCAGAGCTGGTCAAATCTCGGGTCCGCCCCTTATCTGTACAATCTTAGAAGCAATTCTCCAGATGAACTCAGGACCAGTTTTTGATTTGGGGAAATGTGTGCTTCCAAAAACATCTCAGGCAACAGTAAGTGTAGTGCTTGGTACATAACAGGTGCTTAAAAGTCTTGAATAAACTGCTTGTTTAATCTTAGTTTAAAAAAAAAAAAAACTCATTTTCTAAAAAATAGCTTTTTGTTCCTGTTTTATTCCCCAGAGGAATATCATTAGGTATCTCATTACAGATGAAAAACCTGAAGCCATTATTCCTCACATTGCCCTTCATCATATTCAGTTTCCCAATTGTTGTTATGCTTCTTTTTCTCTAGAGGAATAGAGACCAAATTCTTTGTGGAAACTCTGCGAGGGGTTTCTTGTGAAGGACTCAGGGGTTCACTTCTCTCTCCCCTTTGTCCTCCAGTATTAAACAAGCAGTCACTTGGGCTCCAAACTCAACTTTAAGCATATGCTGAATTACTCCATGCTTCCTAGTATTAAGTGAATACATTGGTATCTTGTAATTGTGGCCAATTTGCTGAGTGTTAATGCACTTTAGTTGCATGAGGTACAATTGAATGAGCTCTCTGGGGTGCTGTTGCAGTAAAACATGGCTTTGGAGAGCTGATCAGCAAATCCTCTGTCCCTTGATTAACCTTTGCTTAAAACCCCAACTCCTGGATTTAGTGTCTTCTTGATATCCAAAAAAAAGGTATCAACTTACTTTATTGTACAGGGTGTTTTCGAGGTTCTTTTTGAAAAAGAAAAAAAAGTGGCAATAACTTGGGGACTCTAGGTATGGGAGATCTAGACAGTCCCATGTATTGGTCAGTTAGTAGGTAAGAATATACCTTGTCCCTCAACTTTTAGTTAGTATGGCTCTATTTATTTCTGATACCCATTTATCTCCCTGCTGTCAAGGCATGGTTCCTGCTTAGCATGTTCTTAGGAAAAGTAGAGACTGTCTTGCAACTATCATCTATATACCGTGAAGATAGCGAAGATGTAAAAAGTGTGATGAGTGCACATGCAAATTACAGTGGGCTCCTCTTTTAAATATTAATACCTCTTGTCACCACATGGTAAGGTGAAAGTTAAAATCATGTTTTTTTCTTTGTTTGGCTTTTTAATGTGACAGCACAAGGACACTGAGCTATTTTAGTCTATTCCTAATAAGAAAGAAAAATGCATTCTAATGAGGAAGAGGAAATTGTTGATTTTATGTGCGTGCGTTCCTGAATTACCTGCTCCTTCATGCATTGGTGGTGCAGCTTATGGATATGAAGTGCTGTTGCTAATTATCATTTCAAAAGCCTAGCTCTAATAAGACCAGACACAGCTCTGATCCTAGCAGGCTCTCTGTGGTGCTAACATTTTGGAGGATGTGAAATTTGATGAATGTTTACAGCTAAAGGTCACCTTTCCTCACACCTACATCAGTCAGGCAGTCACTGGGGCTTAGCTCCTGTGCTCCCATGTTGAGTTAATGAGGACTCAAGGACCTGTGAGCAGCTACAAGATAAAAAGCTTGGACTTTGAGGAGAGTCAACAAAAATGTTTCAGATAAACCTGAGATGGTCTTGATATATGTATAGAATAGAGAACAATCACATGCTGAGGACTTTTGAATATACAGAGAGAGCTGCAGAAAGGAATTGAGTGACTATACTTTTTCTCCTTTTGTTGAAAGAGACAGTCTTTTGGGTTATAGGTCATGATCTCTGTCATCATCCGAGCCCCCAAATTATTATAGCTCTGAGAATAAGCTAGTCAGATTCTAGGCTGCGGGAGTGTCCTGCCTGTCACTGAGGGAATAAATGGTGTGGCAGTTTCAGGGCTCCATATTGCATGAGGACAAGCTTTCTGACAGTCTGAGAGCACAAGGTCTCTACTCTAGAGCATCAGTCCCCTGGATCTATCACCGCAAAACTTCCTTCTTCTCGTAGCAACGGTTCCCGTTAAGAGAGGTGCCCCCAACCGTGTACTTGTACCACGCCAGGCAGAGCGTTCAGGATGTCCACCTTCTCCAGGGGCAGCAGGACAGCACTCATCAAAAGCTTTAAAAGTGGACAATGACCGAGATTCTTTTTCTATGAATGTATTCAAAGGACATATAAAGATAATGTTACAGTGTCTTTAAAACTGGAAGCAACTTAAAGGTCCAATGACAAGGATTTGGGATAAGGTGTATTCGTGTATGGAATGTTACACAACCATTAATAACTTTGCCATACAATTACATGGTATGAAAGTGTTCCCACTCAAAAATGGTTTAAATGGTGACTTTTATGTTATGCATCTTTTACACAAAAAACGTGTTCGCAAATATTTTAAGTGAAAATTATCAGTTACAAAACAGGGTATAGTGGCTTCTCACTTTTGTATGTGAAAATGCACCCTAAAATGGTAACAGTTGCTATTTCAACATAGAAGGAAAGAACATAAGTGAATTTTTTATTCTTCTCTTTCCTTTCTATATTTTCTAATTTTTCTCTTAAGTACATTTCTTTTACATAAACTGTGGGGGGAATGAATAAGCTACCTAGATAAATAGAAGGAGAGTACTCTCCTCCTTGATTCCTTTTTATGACTTTTTAGTTGAGTTTCATTTCATTCTGCTTATTAAGTAGAAACGTAACTCCTGCAGAAGGAAATATTTGCAAATATGTTAAAATATAGAGCCCAAATTCCACCAGTATGGATGTCTAATCAGATTATAGTGCTAAGATGTTGAATAGTTAAGACAATAGAAACATTTCCATATTGTTTGACACTTGACAGTTTTCCCTATGAGATTTTTTAGAATGCAATGCAAAAACAATAAGGAAGGTGGAACTGCTCTGCAGGTGATAATCCAAACTTTTAGAAAATAGAGACCAGAGTAAAACTCTTGGATGATGGGGCCATGGAATGAGTGGTTCTCGATGAAAGCTCTGAATTAGCACAGTGTCTTCATCTCTAAACTATCACCAAATTGCCAGGTAAAAGTCTAGTTATTTCGACACTTTAGGGTATAATTTGTAGAAATTCGATATTAATATATTTAAATATAGCATTGGGTCTCTGGTCAGCAGAGATTTAGCTGAGCAGCTACCATATGCCAAGGACCAGAGTAGATGTACAACAGGCAAAAAGACAGGACTCCTGTCTTCAAAGTACAGATCATGTTTACTTGATTTAACAGCAAAGCACACAAAATCCATCATGGAGGTAGTGGGTGAAGGATTTCTATGGCCTAAGAGGTTCCTCTGGACATCTGTCCACTCTACCTGGTTCCCTCAGATTAGTCAGAACACGGAGTGGGTGCATCTCCTCACAAATAAAGTACCTAAGTGTGTTCTGCTTGGAAGAAGCTTTTGTTTCTCATAAAGTGTTAGCACATTGTACAGTTACAGTCAGGGAGCTATCCAATATCCTTCTCTCCAAGTGTGTTAAGTAAAATGTAGGCAGTCACATAGACCTAGTCTCAACTGATATCTATGTGAAATGCTTTCACATATATTTTTCTGTGCCAAAAATGTAAAGAGTTTGTCACACAGTGTGTTCTAACATGCAATTAAATATATCACATGTTCTGAGAGTGATCTCAAGAACCAGACTGCCCTGCTTCAATTCCTGGTCTCCCACTTGCTATGTGTGCTTTTTGTTTAATTTTCTGTGCTTCCTTTCAACCACCTCTACAAGGGAAGTGATGATAATTACTTGTCTCTTTAGAGTGTTTGCAAAGAGTGCATGAGAACGTGTGTCGAACCTTCTCAGAACAGTGACTGACCCTTAGTAAATTCTCCATAAATGTAAGCTCTGTATTAGGAGTCATGCTGGTGGCTGTAGTGAAATAAAATTTTAAATATGAGAATTCTAACTCCCTTAAATTTAAAAATTTATAGCCGTGAAACGCACAAGATTGCAGTGTTTTACATTGCTGAAGGTCAAGAAGACAAGTGTTCAATCCTCTCCAATGAAAGAGGAAGCCAAGCATATGAAGACTTTGTTGCCGGACTTGGATGGGAGGTAATTCATTTCATTTGGGAGCTGTTTATTGACCAGCACTATTTAAGGATGTATGTAAACTGGACATCGATTATACAAGGTTTTACATTCAAATCTAGTACAGGTAGCCTTATGGAGTTGATGAATGTATTGAATTTGACATCTTCTGTTAGTTGCTTTTCAGTACTTCATACATGAACTTTTATTTCCCTTAACTTTTCTTTTAATGTTATTTCATCTGCTTTTTATCCAAACTGAATAGTCAGATTGGCTCACCCAGCCATAGACAGTTTGTGGGAAGAGAAGATAAGTATAGGCAGAGAAGCATTGGCTTCAGCTACAGTATGGAGATTGGAGAAGAAATCAGTGACTTGGTGGGTGAAAAATATGAAGAAAGAGCTGGATGAAGTCAAAAATTGGCATGAAAATAGAATAGAGTAGCCATGAAGGTTTAGCAGCCAACCTCTTTCCCTAAGAGAGATCCCAGGATGACTGATATTGAAAGAATTTGCTTTTCCTCTGCTAAATGATACTCTGACAGACAGACATATACATTTATACACATGCGTGCCCACACACACACACCCATCTGTCTCTTGGAACATAAATCTAAAGGAAAATATATTTCCAGAATCTAAAAGAACTCAGAGTAGTTATAATGGAAATCAGCATATCTGAAATAGTTTTCTTACTTTTCCTTACTTTTGTTTTGGTTTCTTGGTTATCTGTGCTGTGGGAAACTCTCTGGGTGCGTAAATAAGACTTGTCTCTGAGAGTTAAATGTTAGCAAGGAAACTAATATGGAGATGGGGACAGGAGAAGCCTACATTAAGGTCAAGACCATGTACTTTATAAAATGTCAAGTAGATTTTAGCCTAAAAGTGTTACTGTACTCCAATAAATTGTCCTTCTTACTAATAAAGTGACTTCTTATTTACTGGGTAGAATATACTTAATTATTTTAACTACTATACTTTTTAAACCACACATTTGTAACTGGAATTTTAAGAAAAGACTAGAACATTAGTTTAGTGTACATATTGATTGTATTTGGCACAGAAGAGATTCTTCTATTGCTTTTTTTTCAATTGTGTTACAATAGGTGCTTTACTGAAAGAATACCAGTTCATGAAAAGTTAAATTTAAAAAAAAGCGGGGGGGAGGTCCTAGGCATTGACTAAGAAGTGAGCATTTACATCATAGCTTGAAAAAGAATGATAAAAAAAAAAGAATGATAACTCCCAGACTTGTAGTGGTGTAAATCAGAACAACCCCTTTGAAAGATAGGTTAGCAATGGCTGTTAAATTTCAAAACATCTGTACCCTTTGATACAACATCCTACCAAAACATTCCTTTGAATGCTCCTTGTGATTTGATCACACCAGCACTGTTTGAGAAAGCAGAAAATCCCATAAATCCATCAATAGGGAAACTGTGTGTGTGTGTGTGTGTACATAAATACATATAAATACACATACATACACACACATGTATACATATGTTCGTGTGTATAGGATGGAAAAAAGCTAGAGAAATATGCACCAAATTTGTGATGGTGCCTGTCTTAGATTGATAGGATTTTGGAGCACTTTCATTGTGAATGTTTCTTTCATGTTTTGATTTTGTCTAATTTAGTATTACATTTGTTTTTTATCAGAAAGCTATAAAAATGAAAATAATTAGATTTCTTTAAAACAAAGGACATTCTTGCTTGGTGAATGAGGACAATTTAGGGTTGACCCTCACTCTTTCCTCTTTGTTACCTGCATCAGGTGGATCTCTCAACCCACTGTGGGTTCATGGGTGGACTTCAACGCAATGGCAGCACGGGGCAGACCGCTCCTTACTATGCTACCTCGACTGTGGAAGTCATTTTCCACGTTTCAACTCGCATGCCATCAGACTCAGATGATTCACTCACCAAAAAGGTAAGAAGCCTCTTTGAGGACCATTCTTAGCCACCATGGTTTGTAGGTGAGGCTCTCCTAGTCCAAATCAAAGGCCTTGGCATAACATGCACCAAGACTGATTTCCTCTGGATGCAATTTCAGTGTATATCTTCTCAAGCTACAGTTGTAATTAATCTGAAATATCTAGCTTGGCACAAACTAGACAAAGAAATAAATGAAAAACAATCAGTCATTTGAGTCTTAGATCCTAAGATTAGGATTTAGGAAAAGGAAGGGTCTTAAATGTTATTAATTTTGGATCTTCCCTCACCTGACTGTTAACTGACAGAAAATAACATTGTTGACCTCTCAGGTTAGCAAAGGTCATAAGATGCAAGGACCCTGTACTGACAGATTGCTGAGAAAGCAGGCACCTCCCAGGCTTGCTGGGGGCAAGTGGGCAGTATCTGTGAAAATGACAAGTGCAGGTGTGCTCCTGCCTAGGGTCCAACCTTTGGCACTGACCTTGTTTCTCTTCCAACTTGGGCCCTGGAGGCGGAAGGGAACCTCCTTCACCTCTGAGAAACTCCCCAGGGGAACATGGCCCTGAACTTTCTAACCTGCAAGATGTTCACCTCAGGCGACCCTCTATTAGAGGTGAGGAGCACCTTAACAGAAGAGGAATCTTAGTCTGGGAAGGAAGCCTAGAAATCTGACCCACTTCTCTGAGTTTCCAGATGAAAGGAACGACTGCAGGTAGCCTGCTAGTGGGTGGCCGAGCAAGCCTGGAATCCCTACCTCACACCCACTCTCTTTCTACAAGGATGCAAGAAAAACTGCAGATTTGAGTGGGTGGGAAAACAGCTCATTGAGAAGCTAAGGTTGCCATTGGTGGATCTAGTGTGGTGGTTATAGCCAGGGTCTGGAGACAGGCAGACCTGGGCTCAACTGTTACTAGCCCATGCCTCAGTTTCCCCATCTACTAAACGAAATTGAAATCAGCCTATGTCCCAGGGTTGTTGTGAAGTAAATGGATAATGCCCATGAAACTGCTTAGCATGGTGCCTGGTGTAAGATCTCTAACATTAGCCCTCGTCATTGCCCATTGGTCTAATTGAATCTTATTTCTCCTGCCCCATTAGGAGGTGACTGATATTGGCCAGTGGGCCCCACTGTTACCACCTCATCTCTTTTCTCTGCAGTTTTGCCTTTTCATCACTGTAGCCCCAGACGTCTAAACCTCCTATATCGTGGGCAGTGGTGTTTATAAGACCTTAGAGCTTGGGTCACGGCACAATCACAGACAACTTTCACGGTGACTAAGTGCCTGGGATGTGCAGAGCATGATGGCCATGTGCTGCCTCCCTCAGCCATGGAGGAGCTGCCTCCCCGTCTTAGGTTTTGATGGCCACCCTGGTGGCAACATTCTTGTTGAAGGGAGGACCCGGCTCTGTTTCAGATTACCAAGACCTTAGGCAAGGCTTCCACATCCTTTTTATTTGCAGTACCTTGTAAATTGCTGATCATCTGCACATATGTTGCCATATTCTATGACTTTTTTATGACTGAGAACTATTTTGTTAATATGTTTATTTAAAATATCTTTAAAAATTATTCCCTAGGTAGGATTCTTTTATTTTTTTCCCTCTTCCTTTTTCTTTTTTTTTTCTTTTGTGAAAAGACGTCATGTTTTCTTGATAAAACGCCTTGCTATAAATAATGTTGCAAGGCTTGGCCTGGTTGAAAGATTCCCTACTGTAATAATCAAAATTCAGCTGATACCTTTTGCAGGTCTGAAATTCAGCATCATTAGTGACAAACTCTCTTTATCAGGATGTCTCACAGCCAGACTAAAAATCAGTCACAGTAACAGCAGCCCACAGTTCCTTGTCTTATTCTAACTAAATTGTCCCTAACAGCTTAAAAATGAGCTGCAAAATTCTAAAGTGATTCATGCTCTCTTCTGCCCCTGTCATGGGGGCACTTTTTCAATTCTGCAATCCGGTTGCAACCCCATACTGAACTCTTGATCCTTCACTGCAGAAATTTGTTAGCTCTAGCTAGATTAGATTTTTCACAGCTAATCTAACTGCTGTAGGGGTTTGCAGAGTGGGGACAGAGCTGTGCTATTGGATTTGTCCAATTCATTTGACTCCAGGACTATAATTGCACTTATGTCTTACAAGGCTTTTATAGCCTCAGGCTGGCCAGCCGCATAAAAAACAAATTGGCAGTGATACAGTACGAGTGAAAAGGGATGAAAGGCCCACATTATCAGTCTCCAGGCAGCACTGTTCTGGCAGGAAGTTTCTTGGTTAATTTACAAATAAAACTTAGATTTTAGGATGGGCACACTGTCAGCTGAACAATGGGGATGTCAGGCCTGACTGTTACTTAGTAAAAGTAGCAGCCGGGCCTACTGAGGAGCAGGAATTCTTCAATCAAACAGACGACTCCTTCTGGAGCCAGCTGGCGATGTAATGCAATTAGTCGGGAAAGGAGGTCAGCCTATTAGGTGTGTACCATGACCAGTGTCACCCGTGCGTGCCGCCTGGCAGCAGCAGGCAGAATGGCCCAGGCGAAGGACTTTGAAACTCTGTCAGGATGAGAAGTAGCAGGACATGGGGTTGATTTCTTAAGACTGAAGAAGCGAGCATTTGTTCCGAGCCTGTTAAGCATCCATGCGTTCTGGAGCCTGTTGTGCAATTGAAACTGTAGCTGGCGTGAATGACAGCTCCATCCCAGGGCGAGACTCATCGGTCTTTCGCAGATCATACATGAGTCAGACCAGCTTGACTTGCATGCACGCAACAAACTCACTGGTGGATTTCAGACAGGGGCCCTCTACTCAGAATTCTCCAGAACTCAACAAAATGACATCTCTGTAATGAAATCCCCTTTAAATTGAGCAACACATTGAAGCTTCCAGAGTATTCCTTCCTCTTCTGACATGGTGAACATTTTGGCTGGGTTAGTTTTACTTGTTTCACCTGCTTATGTTCCGGTCTGAGGTGGAAGAGGGCATGTTTTTGCTCTCTGCTCCAGATCTACCAGTCAGTGGGTCCTGTGGCCTTAGCCCTTAGTTTTGTGAGTTAGCCAATTAAACTGTGGCTTGTCCAGAGATCTGGAGCACATGACATTGAAAGCAGCTTTGAGATGATGAGTATTGTATCATTACCACACAGAAATAGCTTTTCCTTAATTACAGAAATGCCACACTGGGAGGACGGGTCTCTCCGTGTGATACTATTCTCCCTTGCTGTGGTTCTGAGAACTCAGTCCAAACAGAATTAGGAGAGACTTACGTGGATTATATAATTGAGGAACCTAATTGAGAAAAGGGAAAAATTTCAGTAATCACTGTATTACCTCAGAGTTAATGCCTTGAGCAACTTATGCTTCTGGATTGAAAGGAATCATCACAGGTTTTAGGGTGCTGGCGTGAGGTGATAGCCCCACATTTGGAGGGTGTGTAGTAGGTGTGTTATTCCCATTGCGACTTTTGTGCCGGCATTATGTCAAGGGGCACAACAAAACCGCCTGGCAGTTTGCCTCTCTTGACAGGGTGAGGGCAGCCCCACTGTCACAATTCTCTTCTGCTGGGCTGAATCCACCCCCAACCACCACCAAGTTTCAATTTGATACAATTCCTATTTCCCTTGAAAACCTGCCTTTATTGTGTTGCTGGTAATGCTGACTACCATGTTTTCACTCCAAAACGATTGAATTTCAGGAGTGTGTTGTGAGAGTTTAGCATGTTTTATTAGAAAGGAAAGAGAAAAGAAAGAGAGGTGGAAATAGAGGAAGAGAGGGAGACGTTCAGTGTTGCTATGAGAACTTGGTGTCTTTCTTTTTCTTTTAACTATTTATGGTGGTAATGGCTTGGCTACACCTTTTGCCTGCTACCCTTTTAGCCTTTATATGTGATAGGGGAAGAAGAAGAAGAAAAATGTACTGGGTACTTTTACACTTAGAAAGTTGTAGACACCATTGAATTGTTCTGGATCATCGTGACTTGTGCTCAACACCCACAGTTGCATTTATCCCAGCGCCCAAGCTCAGACACAGTTGAATCGTGTGCCCCTCACCATAGGGGTTACCTACAATCACACCTGTACCTCACAGTAGTACAAAGGTACTGGTGTAAGTCTTTTTAAAAAATTGACTTACACAGTCATTCCCAGAAGCATGAAAGAGTAAAGAATAGGACAGCATTGCCGCAAGCCAACTTCCTTTGTAACCTTGTAAATGGAAAGGAGGCCATGTTGGGGTCACCTCAGAGTTTTCTTTTGTGGTCAAATAGTCTGTAAAGAAAATTTTATTTATGCTAACATGTTTTAAATACATGGTACTCCAGAGCATCCTTTTTTGTGTGTGTATTTTAATACAAAACTACAACATTACCTTTGACACAACATTGCTATTTTATTAACAGTGCCTCTGAATTTAGTCATTTTTAGCGTTCATCTATAAATAAGCTAGGAAGCAAGAAATACTTTTTTTGGTGGTAGATAGCATTCTTCTTATGCAGCATGTGAGAGAACCAAACCTCAGACTTTCAGTAGGTGTCAAAGCGCCTTCACCAGTCAGCCTTTATATAAAGGTTGTAGGACTTCAATTTTGGCCAACATTTTAATCTTTAAAATCTAGTTTCTTTTAGTCACAGCCTCAGGCTTATCAGACGATTTCATGCATGGCTTTCTCTGCCCAGGATGTGCAGTCGGTACGCAGGACCTTCATCAAGGCTGTTCTTGTGGCTGAAGAACTCGGCCCAGGAAGAAGTCTCAGAGTCCCTTCCTTGGAGGCATGCTAAGCCCTCGTCAGAGATGCCGGGGATCTCTGGCTTGTTTTTGGATTTTATGGCGTCTTTGTCTATAAAATGCCAAAAACAGTGGGCTACACTATTTGAGCTGTGACAGTACAATTGGCTTTTGGTGTCGACCTCGATGGCCGTGAACAGTGGAAATGGCACTAAGTTAGAGGCCCCAGCCCAGGTTTCCAGGCCTGCTCTGCTCCTTGCTGTTTGCAAACCTTGGTCAGGTGTGCCTTTGTCTTCCTGAGCCCCATCTCCTCCCTGTCAGATAACACAAAGATGAGGTTATCTGCCTCAGAGAGTTAGTGGAAAGATTAAGCAAAGGCAATCTCTGAATGCTAGTTACTAGTGTTCTTATTAAATTTAAGTAATACTTACTAATTTCTTAAATGAAGGTAATTTTATATGAACTTCTTCTTAAAGCTTTGTCACAAATCTAGTTTTTATACATTTGGTAACAATTGTGTTATAGTAGCTTTTGGTCTCTTTTATTCGTATTTTTTCTTAATAACCATTGAATTAAGAGTCTTATGAAGCTCTATTGTAATATGGAATAAAAGGCTCATGTCATTAATTGTTTGGAGACATGCTCAGCAATATAAAGCATAAGGATTTAGTACCAGGAGTAAAATTCAATTTAAAAAAATCCTTGAAAAGGTCTCGTCCCCTTCCAGCAATAATGTACCTGCCATGCTTAATACGCATCATCTCAGTGCCACTTATTTCATAGAAAGTAAGTGGTGTTTTCATGTGTTTGTGTTTTTTAAATCCTCATAGAAGACAGTGGTGTCGTACCTTTTTTTAGTAGTGAAATATTTTTGCCTCTGAGTATTATAATTCAATTTGTAAGCCACGACCCCTCATAAACTGCTGTTATCACTCTGATTAATAAAGAGCCAATTGGCCATTGCAGCTCCGTCACTTGGGGAATGACGAGGTCCACATCGTCTGGTCTGAACACTCCAGGGACTACCGCAGGGGCATTATCCCGACCGCCTTCGGAGACGTTTCAATCATTATTTACCCAGTGAAGAATCACATGTTCTTTATCGCGATCACGAAGAAACCCGAGGTACGTTTTCACCGCATTATCACTCTGACTCATATAGCATTTGCCACATGATTCACTGTTTTTGAACAACAGTGATATAAATATGTTAAGGAGGACTTTTTTCCAACTGGCTAATGTCTCACATATATCTGAATTACACATGCTATAGGGAAATTCAGTATGAATTGGGATTTTTCAGAGTATCTTTCCTTAGGAGGACAGAATTCTGTATTTTTATGTCTAGATTCTTTGGAAATTATTGTGTGAAGACATGAATGGTATTTTAAATGTTTTGAATTTAAAATTTTTTTTTAATTTTAAAAAATGGTAATTTTAAATTTGGGACACATTAATTAATAATAATAAGAGTTGAATGAACCCCCTGTCACATCTAGCATTTTGTGGGTGGCTGTGGGTATAGAATTCGACCTTCCGTGACAAACAGGCACTGCTCACCGAGCCTCTGACTGCTGCTAATGGGGGTCAATCCTGAAGGATTGCAAGCATGGCCGTGAAGAAGACTAGGCCTCTGTAGCACAGCCTGCCCATGTGATGATTTTTAACAATTGAAGCACCTTGCCACAGAATCAATGCAGCCACGTCAATTGGTATTGATCATGGGAATGGCTGGAACAATCCAATGGTTATGTGCCGTGTACTAAATTGGCTGCGGTTTCGATCCTTGCCATGCCTTTAGTGCTATTTTAGCGGTGCTTTATATAGTGACTTGTTTTTGTGTTGGAATTATTAATAGAAGGGTTTGCTTTTAAGTTTTTAATTAAACGTTTAGCATAGTTAAGTCACTCCTCAAGAAAATGACTTTGTGCTCTAGGTTGGTATTAAGTGTAATCTTCATTTTCATTCCAAATTGTTCTCTTGAAGGAGCTAAAAGTTACCATTCTAAATACTCTCTACTTTTGGCTTTGAAATAATAGGTAACTGAGATTTCCTGGGATTTATAGCATAATCGAAAGTGTTAAAGTCATGCAGATTAAATGAACTAAGAAGTGAAAGGTGCTTCAAACAGTGGCTGGCTCAGAATAAAAGCCATTTAAGTGTTAGTTGTTGCTGTTGTTATTACCATTGCTAGTAATTTTTCAGTTACAGTCACTACATGAAAATAGAATAAATAATGAATCATTTCTCAGGCTAGACACAGTGTGGGTCACCTCCTGAATTCAGAAAAGCCCCACTCTGGCTGGTGAGAAGCCTGACATAAAGGGAACCCTCTTTTCTATTCGGGGAGTGAAGATGCCACAAGTTCTTCATACTAAATATTTGTGTTATTTCTGATTCATGTCTTTGTGTGTGTGGAAAATTTTCACTCTTGTATAAGAAAATGGCTCTGAGTGCTAGTGGCATTTGTGTTTGTCCAGGAAGAACACTAATTTTAAGAATTAAACTAAAAATGTTTATATTAGACAACCAACAGATTTAGTGTCCTGTAGCTTCCAAATCTGCAAAATGTGGTTCTTTATTATTTAGTGTGGATTAACTGGTTTTATTAGTTCATTTTCAACATGGCCCTCTAAAATGTCACTTACCATCCTAAAAATGTCGCCTTTATTTTTTGTAGTAAATAAAGAACATAAAAGGTATTTCAATTCACTTCACAGTGTTAAAAGTGACACTTTTAACTTTCTTAAAAAGTGATTTTTTAATAGGCATTACACTTTTAACACATGAAAACACATATTAACATACCTTTTCAAAATTTCTTTAGAAAATGTATGTAAGTTTTATAAATTTGGTCATAAATTTTGACAAGATGAATTGAGCAAATCGGTGCCTTAATATTTCAATTCAAAGAGCCTAAAGGAAAGAAGAGAATAATGGCCAACTGGAAATTTAGTGTTATCCCCACATTTAAAGTACAAACCATTACAATGTAATAAAATTAATCCAGACATTTCCAGGGCAAGTGTGGCTGACCTTTTGTTCACCAACCACTGACCCCAGGGTGAATGCAAGAGGCTTGTGGAGGGAAAGTCTGTTTGTTTGGCTTCAGTCCCTGGTATTTAAATTGCATTCCCTAATCAAATGAAAAGGCTGTCCTCTCTATCAGGTTACAGAATCCATGGCAACATTTGGCCTTTTATATCCATAATGTTAGCCTTTTTGTTTGCATCTAAGTAGAGACACCTGGAGCAATGTTAACATTAACCGATTTAGCATTAATAGCTTCATTATATAAGAATTTCTGATCAGATAGCTGTTACTTTTGTTATATTGCTTCAGCTTGTATTGTTGTCATTTTTTATCTCCCTGCTTGGCAACCAGGCAATGATTTGCAAATTTTTTTTGTCTTGATTAATTAAGCAATATAATTATCAGTAACCGTGATGCAGTCTTTGCTCAACAAAGCTTCTGAGAGAAAACAATGGTAAGTCTGTTAGTATGAATGCATTCCACGCGTCCCAGATGCATGAGGATATTATGGACAATGAGGGGAAAGGCCGCCTGTGAGCGAGGACAAAGGGTGCCACGCAGACTCGACACACTGCACATACCGCCAGGGACATGCTGCGGGCTCCCTGGGACACAGACGCCTCGTTAGATTACAGCTAGTCAGCAGAGATTAATTCTCAGCCATTTGGTGCAATAATTTACCCATTCCCCAGTCTTTTAACTAGTGCTCCTCACTGTGGAAGTAAAGGCTTTGTACTCAAAAGGTTTATTTAACCTTGCCTACTTTTAGGGATCTCCACCAAAATCTTTTTTTTTTTTTTTTTTTGCTTAGAAATTGTATTGACGCAGCTGCTTGAAACTGAGGAATATTTCTTTGGAGGAGGACAGGATTAAGCACAAGTTTCACGAATTATAGGTGGAGTCAGAGGCATTCTTTTAGCACCTGTATATTTCATCTGAATATAGTATGACTCTGGTCTAAGTACATTTATTTTACTGGTCTCTGGGCAGCCATACTTCTCTAAGAATAATTTTAATCCTTTTTTAGGAGGGGAAAAAAAAAAACCTCATCAGTACACAAAAGTCCTGCTCATTGGATAGAGTCATGCATATTCAAAATGTACTTTCATTCACTCGGCCTCATTAATAGCGTATGTAATAATGTAGGGCTATTTGTAATACAAGCTCACAGGCAGCATTGCTTCCAAGTCCTTTGAAATTTAACATATTTCGCTTTTTCATTCCATACTCCTCCCTTAAATATACAAATTATGTGCCTGGCAGAATCCGCCTCCTCTTAATAATACACAGCATTTGCGAAATGGTATGTTGAAGTGTGGTGTGCTGTATGAGCACAGAAAACCCTCGCGTCTGAGAGGGTCTGCTCACTTCTTGAGCCTTTTATTGAACTTTTTAAAAATAAATAAATAAATAAATAAATAAATATCAGTGTGTTCAGTAACATGATTTCATTGTGAAATTATTTTCAAAGTAAGTTCATCTCTGTAAATATTGACATGGTAGTCTTTGGTCACGAAAAGTAATGTGCTGTTGTCAGATTGCCGGGGTTTTTTTATTTCTATTTTTATTACTAAGTTAGTAGTCAAGGAAAACTTGCATATAGAGCAGAACACAAGTGCTTGAAAGGGTTTGTTTAAATGCCTAATTTATTCTGCAGAAAAGGGGTTCATAAAGCTTCCATATCACAGTGAGAACCCGTGTTGCTTTTCTTTTTTCAGCAACTAAAAATAATTTTGGTGTTCAAAACATTTGCTTTTATGAATTTGTAAAGGTAGGTTTTAGTGTTCCTGTCATGTTTATCTCCAGGCACATTAGCAACTGGCTAGTGACTGCCCGGCCAGAGGGTGGACATGCTGGAGCAGCCTTGACTGGGCACAGTTAGAACAAGAGAAAGCTTTGAGGAAGCTGAGAGTCCTCCTTATCACCTCAACCAGAATGTCAATTTTCTAAGTGAAAGACATGTTAATGTCCTCCAGACTCTCCTTACTTGGCCCTAGTAGATACGGGCAGAGGAGAAAATGGATGATTCAGCCATTTCTGAGAAGTACATGCAGGAAAGAATGCCAGGATAGAGGACGGGACCCCAGAGTTCCAGTTCCTGTGCAGCCACACGTGGGTGCGGGTCTTGGGCAGGTCTCTTAATTTCTTCAGATTTTTATTTCCTCAGCTGTAGCATTCAGGTTGGGGACCAAGTTCTCTCTGCAGTCCTTTTCAAGGATTCTAAGTGCCCCTTTAAGATGGGCCCTGTTTGATCCTCCTGTTCCTAGATGCCCGTCCTTTCCCTAAGCTGCCCCAACTCACCAGGTTGCTGTCAAGGTGGTATCTGTCTCCCTTGCAGGCTCAGCAGCTACTGTGAGTGTGTCAGTGTGTGAGCGTATGCCTGTGTGTGTGTGTGTTCTCATCCAGTTCAGGAAGACAGCTAGCCCAGAACCTTCACCTGGAGCCAGTGCGCAGAAATCCTGGTTAGGGCTGATGCACCAGAAATCACAAAAGCATTTTTGCACATGTAAGGTGAAAAGTAGCCAGTATTGGCATCTCTGTTTGAAAGGAAATCTTTTACTAATGTGGCTTCGTTATATATGGAGTATGTTTGACTGCAACATGGTTATGGAAATTTCTTTTTATTTCATCTATGCAATTTTCTTAAATATTTATCTCAACCCCAACCAAATAACCTTCTTGAGATTAAAGCATATCCTTTAAAAATTCTGGGAAATTCTCAGGGAAAGTAAATTGTTAACTTTTGAATATGTGAAGAATCATTTATTCTAAAAGATAATTGAAAATGCTGAATAACCAGAATTTACTAAAAGACATTATTTTTTTAAAGATTTTATTTTTTTACGTAATCTCTACACTTTACATGGGGCTTGAACTTACAACCCCAAGATCAAGCATCACATACTCTACTGACTGAGCCAGCCAGGCGCCCCAAAAATATGTAATTAAATCTATTATCGCAATATGTTCTTTTGGAAATTTATTATTATTGTTATTGGAGTTTTTTTAGTAAAGGAATGACATTGAAAACTTTGTGAAAGGCAGCTGTCATTTGCAGATGTTATATCAAAAACAAACTTCTTTTCCAATTC